TTCTTGAAGCTCTTTGTGACTCTTGGAAGATAAGTGTGTTTGTCTTCCACTTGTAAATTTTCTACTGATGAATTAATGAAAGTGTTATTGATCAAAAAAAAAAAAAGTATTGCACCAATGTGCCAAGTATCAGTATGGCTAGATCCTTTAGTTTGGAAGTCACCTGGTGGCTCATGACCATGCTACCTAATATCCATAATAAGCATTGAAAATCAGATTTAGAAGTTGCAAAAATTAAGGAAGAGCGAGTCTGATATTATGTTTTGTTCTTTAGTTACCATAGAATGTTAAACACATACACATGCATGTTAACAAGCAGCAAATTCAAGACTAACTTGTGATTTTAAATAAATTGGTAATTTTACCAATGACATGGTGATTTTTAATTAAGGCTCAGTTGGAAGGAGTACAAGTGTAGAGCTCAAAACCTTGTATTTTCTATGTATTTGTACTGTCCATATTTGTATTTGTACTCTTTCCAAACTGAGCCTAAACAATTTTGATGTTATGAAGTGATTAAAGCTCGAGTTTAAATGTAACAGTAGATTAAAAAGTTTGATCCTTTACTACTCTTTTATTTGTCAAAACTCAAAACCTATTCATGCAGAGATGCATACTTGTAGACATTTGTGGATTGTAAGACTGTAAGAGAACATATTAAGATTTATAACTCTATTTGTGATGATCCCTGAATTTGGCAGGACTCTTACAGACAACATGGTGGTTGGTGTCTCCAAAGGATTTGAAAAGAGACTTCAATTGGTTGGAGTTGGATATCGTGCAACACTAGAAGGCAAAGACTTGGTATTAAATCTTGGGTTTTCTCACCCAGTTAGGATGACCATCCCTGATGGTTTGAAAGTAAAGGTGGAAGACAACACTAGAATTGCCGTTAGTGGATATGATAAGTGCTCCATCGGTGAATTTGCTGCTTCAATTAGGAAGTGGAGACCACCAGAACCATATAAAGGGAAAGGTGTGAAATATGCAGATGAGATTGTAAGAAGAAAGGAGGGGAAAGCTGGTAAAAAGAAGTAAAATGGCAATCTCCATGTTTTCCCTCCCATCCTTATTTGTTTATCTTCTTTTCTTATTTTTGAGCCACATGTATTGATTGTACCTGCATCCTTGTTGAAGCAGAAAACTTATGAACAGGTGACTTGTTCCCCTTCTTTTTACAAGCACGTCTAAGAGCAATTTGCTAGCATCAGAGACCATGCCTATCATGGAGGCTCAAACTACAACATGGATTTTTGTGAAAATACAAGGGTACACACTTTGTTCTTTTGATTTAAGATGGAATGTAGAGAAATGGATGAATCATCCATTTTATTCCCCGATGAAAAGAAAAAGCAGTTTAAACATGTTGCCTCATCATGAATGCTTGCTCCTTGAGATATACCACTGGAAAGCGTTTGACCATGTCCATATGATTCTGCGTAAGTGTTTTTCTAAAACCAAAAAGAAAAAAAATGAAAAAAAAAATTGCTAAATCAGTAAAATCAAGTTGGTAATTTAGTCATTTGCCTACATCATTATGGTCATGGACATTGCCAATATAGAGGAAATGAGCATCTTAGGCTGCATTTGCATAGTGAGAAGCTTGGATTAATTTATCACCACATTTCCACTTGCACAGAAATTTCATTAAAAAGCATAATTGGTAGACTAGAAATCTCACTCTACCGAATTTCACAACGGGTTCCATTATACCGGTAAAATGGACTGCGGTGAGTGCAGTTTCCTGAATGCAATTCTGTTCTGCTGCCAAATCCAAAACCACCCTAATCAAAATACAACATTAGAAAAAATCTTCACATGCGTTATCTTGGAGAAGGCAACAACTCAGATCATACTTGGCTATCTACGGTTTTGAGAAGGTTAGATATGTATTTGGGTAATGGCCCTTGTACAAAGACTGATCTAATCCGATACATTAATATGGTGGATAGGTGCAGTTTAGTTTATATGACAGACAAGTATTTTCAATTTTCCAACTAAACTAGAACTAACCATGAGAACCTCCAATTACGAGAACCAACGAACCTGCGACATTGTCAATTTCTACCCCTGTAATGCAGTAAATAATTAATGATACAGAACAAAACAGGGAGGATTGTAGGGCTGCAAATTGTACCCAATTGTCTGAATTCGACCCTATTAAGGCTGGCCCATATTTGATTTGTTATAATTGGATTGAATATAGATCCACCCCTATCCAATCCAATATAATTAGATTCGATTTAAATATATATACTCATATATACTTAAAATTCATATTACATCTATCAGTAAAGTTGGCCTGAATGTCATACAAGCAATTTTTAATTCATTTTGTTCATAAAATATTATTAAAGTCATTCTGAATTCATTTTATTAATAATATAATTTGGTCATTTTTAGTCCGAATATAATCCAAATTCAATCCGAATATTCTATGGGCACAATCCAATTGGAATCCAAATATAAACGAATTTGATTTGGATCTACATATATCCCTAGAGATCGATTCATTTGATTCGTACAGACAATGTTTTTTTTTATGTTTCACTTCATACAGGTAAAATGTAATGTATCACATGGGTACATCAATTAACAAGATTTCTGCTAAAATCCCATAATTTCTTTGCAAGCTCCATATCTCTAGCCTGTGGTCCTGGTTGGGCCACGTTACTGTCACAAAAATATTCACCAGTTACACCCTTGACTTGCGTATGCAATGCCACATAGCATGTGGTTGCTGCCCCCTGCAAATAAACCCAGTGAAATGTACAAGCAACTAAAGTGCATGATCAGGGACTTCCAACTCTAAAGAGTAGAGCACTTCTCTTTATGTCCTGGGTTGTAGAGTCATGCCTAAACCACAACCACTATATTCCGATTGGTAACTAGGGCTATGTTTGGTTTTGTGGGTGTTTATTGAAAAAACTCCGCTACATAGGCATTGGCGCTTAATGTGCATGAAACCACTGTATGGTTTCAACATTTATCAAATAAACATTAAAAAACATAAATTCTTGGATTTATGTGCATAAGTCACTTGGGAAAACGTCAAATAATCCTTGTTTCCCCCAATGCCCCAGTATTTCTTGAAAAGAAATGCTTATGTGACATAACTTTATGGGGTGTTAATCTGAGGTAGAAAGTAATAAACATTTAAACTTATGTTCAACCAAATAGCAAAAGCAAGAAAGGATAAAGTAAAGTTTTTCAAATAAACATTTAAAGCAATAGACACCCCAACATAAACACCCACACAACCAAACACATACTAGGTATAGCTAGTTAAGACATGAATAGCCTGATATAGCTCCAACTTGTGTCAGTGTCGGGGTGTCCTAAACTCAATTCACCCATTCCAATATGGGGCGGTACAGGCCTATCTTTTGGTGGTCTGGTGTCAGACTGTGCTCTATTTTAGGCCCAAACTGGTTTTGGACAGACATTGGTCCAGCCTATACAGGCAGGTATAAAGTTTAAAACTTCCCTTAATTGTGTGTAGGTATGTATCAAAGAGAGAGAGAGAGATCCAAAATTCAATTTTATGCCACTTGAGCCAACTTGGTTCCAGCACACTAGCACCTAAGTTAAGCTTGATTGGATGGTTCCTTCAACCAACACCGGACCTAGATCCAGCTAAGACCAAAAGCACTTTGATGGTTGACCTTGGGATGATTTCTTCTTTCTTCTTCTTTTTTTTTTTTTTGGGTAAAAGGACTTGGGGATAATCTAGCCCCAGTATTGGAATATGACCAACCAATGCAAAAGCAAATGTCTTAATTAAACTTATGCATAAGGGTGTAAAACTCTATGAGAAAGCTAAAACTCGAGATATCTATACCATATAATGTGGATAAAGGATTCTGTCCTCAGAACACTTGTAGTCGTGCATTGATTTGCATTCATGAGTGCAAAACTCGAGATATCTATCTCCATAGTTGTATGTTTTCATTCATGCAAAGATGTTCTTAATTCTCAGTTTGAAAGGAGTACAAATACAAATATGTACAGTGCAAATACATACAAAATAATATAAAATACACAGATTTGCATTCTACATATATTTATATTTGTACTCCTTCCAAACTGAGCCTAATGCACGGCTGTAAGTGTTGTAAAAACAAATTCTGAGGATGAAATCCAGATATAATGTGGGTACTTGCCTTGGTGTCAGTGAAGATCATAAAAGTTAGATAATACTAAGACACTTAAAAAAGTACAGTTAAAAATTTTAAAAAGCCTGGATTTTCAAGCAAGTGGTTGAAGCCCTACCTAGATTCCTTAGATAAATTTAGGGATACAAGGTTAACCATTGATGGAAGGGTCTAGTATGGCTTTAGAAAACAGTATAGGAAATACCTGCTGAACACTTTTAATCACATATTTAAAGATCATTTGAACAAAACCTGCATGCAAACAACACAAGAATCATAACTCAAGTGTTAAACCCTCTTGATCACCAACTGATGGGTGTCTCAGTTGGTACAGTTAGTGGCTCGTTCTAGCAGAGACTTGGGATCAAATCCCATGGCCACCTTTTTCTTTTGGGGGGGGTTATGGGTCTGGTAGTTCAAGCCTCATGGAAGGAGAAACTTTCTTGCATATTCAGAATGGATAAAAAGAAGGATTTTGCTTTGAAAGATGATTACTGTGTCTCATGGTCTTTTTCCCCTCACCACCACCCCCCTTAATGATGGAGTGCCCTTGTTTCTTAGGACTGAACCAATTTAACTTGAGTTTTTTTTTTCTATAGCAAATTTTCAGTTATATCTTTGAGAAATGTTTAATGTATCTAAAAGTGAAGTACCTAGATGGCTTACTGTTTAAAATTCTGTTATGACGGAACAGATTGGTGGCAATAGGTCCTGGGTGAACTGAATTAGCTGTTATGTCCACCCCTTCTTCCTGTTTAAACATGGGAGGGGAAGCAGGAAAGAAATAAAAAACCGCTTGAAATGACTATCAAAAAACAAAAAAAAAAAATATGACAACCCTTAACTACAGGGAGCATGTAAGCATGGTAACAGTGAAAATATCAATTAAATTTGATTAAATCATGTGAATCTGTAGCTAAGACAGAGATGTGAGAGACAACAGGTTATACACATGCTCATGAGCAATAAATAATAATGAATTATTTAACAAATGATTAATAATGTTTATGTAAAAATATGAATAAACTAAAACTATACACCAATCTGGAGTGCAAGATTATATATGTCATACTAAAACATAAAAAGAGAAATCTGTTGTATGGTCTCTTCAGTTTGTTCAGTGAGAAATTTGATTTGAATTGATATATGTTCTTGTGTGATTTAAGCACCCATAATTCAACAATGGATGTGGCACTGAACAGAATGGAATGACGAAACAGGATTCATGTAGCCAACCCCATATAGTTGGACAAGGCTTAGATGATGATGAAGATATTCTCCATGTGTAGATGATAACTTCATGACCTTTCATGATTCTCATGTAAAGATGCCAATCACAGGACAGCAGCAGACCAGTAATATCAAATTCTGGATAACTGCTATTTGAATGTGAATAGTTTAAAACATTAAAAATTTGGCTCTTTTGCAATGTAGGCAAAAACATGTGAAGTCTATAATAGTGCCAACAATTTGAAGAGACTTCCCAACAAAACATCTTCACCTTGGAGGGAGGAGGACCGGTTCAGACTTCTTTGCGAGGAAAAGAAGAGAAGAGTCCATTAGAGGATAAAGATCAAACTCTCTCATCCTCACCCTCACGCCTCTTCATCCTAGATTCCAAGACAGGGTGCCATTGTCAACAAAAACCATATCCCTAATCAGTTTGTTTTTGTTAAAAGCAAGGTTGTACAATCTAGGGAATACAAGACATAAAGGTGAGTCTCCCTAACAAAGATATTCCTAAAACTTAACCCTATTTCCAGGCTTCCAGCAATGGGATCATACTGACTATGCTATGTGGAGAGAAGATGGACACAATGGATTTCCAGAGTCACTTTAGGTTGGAAGTTCTAGAACTACCAGAGTCCCACGCATTTGGGTTTATCCTATTAATGCTTTTGATTACCGAATTCCACAATGTATCATTTTTTTGGGGGGATAGCCAGAGCCACTTCCTTAGAAATGCTACTTTTTTATCCTTCAACCTGCCAATCCCAAGACCAGCACACTCTTGCATTTTGTGTATTGATTAGTGACCAATAGGGTCGATGGTTTTAAAATGAATTCCTTGAGCTGTTGCTTTTAGTCACATTTATGATGCTCTTTTCTATACCATTTACCCTTATTTGTACAGTATGATA